CCGATGCTTGGACAAAGATTTAAGCAATATAATGAGCCTCAACAAGGGCTATCACAAGCATGCAAAGAAATGCACAATTAAAATACAAAAGTTCCAAGAATTTCTTACAAAGGTCCTTAAGCAACTTTAAATTCAAATGCTAGCTCCAAGCTCCAATGATTACTTTACGATCCAATGTTTGCCTTTCTTGTAGTCAAGTACCTAATTGAACAAATAATATCAAGAGTAAGAAAAGAATATACAATGGAAAATAAAATAAAAATAGAAGCAATCGAATGAACACTATTGTCTAGTCTAATTCCAACAAAACCGTTAATCCCCGGCAACGGCGCCAAAAACTTGACGATGGCCGTTCCTATACACCAAAATAATGTAGTGAATATGCGGTTCAAGAAAAGTCTTTGGGTCAAGTTTAAATTTATAAAAACCACTACCACCACTACTACTAACGTAGCAAGAATGAATAGGGATCGTCCCAAGAGATTATACGTGTTGGAATTTAACTTCGACTCTAGTGGATCACAAGATTGCAAAGGAGAGATTGATTAATTAAACTAATATGCAAACAAATTAAAATGCAATTAAAATAAACTAAGTTGAGATAGGAATTTAAGAGATGAGAAGTGAGGTCTTGGGGTGTATTGGAATTTCCAGCAAGCTTGTTCACCAAACCACACACTTTCAACTAATTTGGGGAAAACATTCTTTGTGAACAAAATGCGACTACCAATTGCAATATTAAGCATAGACCATCAAATTCATATACGAATTGTCTACCTAACCAACAAATAAACTAAGTGTAGAACAACCCATCAAATCTAAGCATGGCCCATCAAACTAGTCACAATTGTAGCACATATCAATCTAGAAAATCATGGAATTTGCAATAATAAGCCATGGAATATCAACTCAAGTATAGGTTGTCTACCTACCTACAAACATGAATTAAATTGTAGAATAACCCATCAAGCATAAGAATAATCCATCAAATTAATTGATAAACCCATCTAATAAAACTCATGTCTAGCCATCACTAGATTCTCAATCAACCACACATAGACATGCAATTAATATAGAAAAACTAGTGTAGAGATTAATTCCCAAATAATCACACATAAGACAACGTGTAATCACAAAGAGAATCAATAGGAAGAATTAAATCATTTGAATCATGTGAGACATAATTCTCAATTTAATCACACATAGACATGTAAATAAACTAAAGAATTAATAGGAAGAATTAAACCATAGAAATTATAGAAATATACCAAGATTCATTAAATTCACAAGGCTAGAACATTAATCACAAGATATTATTCCCTAAACAGTATGAAAAAGATAGAGGTTTAGATTACAAACTTGGGGCTTATCCAAGTCCCAAAGAGAAGTCTAGCCAATCATGGAGGAGGTAGATGTGATCTTGGTGTTGGGAAACGTGCTAGTTTTAAAAACTTTTTAAGGGATTTTAATTCATAGATCTTGATTCATCACATAGAGACAAGTTTTATGCAAAAATAAAATATGATGTATCATTCAATTAATAGATTGAATACTTACATAAAAGGTCTGAGTAAACCTTTAATCATTTCCTCTAAAGTGAATGTTCTCACTTATTGTAAAGATCCCTTAGCAAGATGCGTTCTCCTTGGATCTCCATCTTCTTGGTAATTGTTTTGCCTTTAGGAATCACTCATAAGCCTCCATGAATGACCTTGGAAAACTAGGCTTGTGGAAGCCTCCATTAGATGAGAGCATAAACCCTAATTTTCTAGAGAGAGAAAATATATTCATTTTTCCTTCTCATAAAAATCACCCCTAAAATATACATAGACCATGTATATTTATAGGAAACATAAAGATAAAGAAAAGGAAACAACAAATCCTTCTCAATCTCTAATTCACATGTCTCAAATCTAATAGGATTCCAATATCAAGTTGGGCTATAAGTGAGAATCATTTGGGCTTATTATTTTATTGGCTACAATGAATTAATAATTGGCCTGATTCATGGACCCAATTCAATTAATTCATAAATTAATTTCTACTCCACCAAAAGAAATTAATTGAACTCCAATTAAATAATAATAACCTCTAAGTCAATGTTGCACTTTGACCCCTCTATGCATAATTAGTTATCGGATAAATAAAACCATCAATCCGACTACTTAATTAATATATTTATTTTAGTACCATTGATTATATCTGGCTCGATCACAATAAATTATTTGTTTGACAAAAATAATAATTTAAATAAATAAATATATAATAAATCATTTTGTCAAAAAACACACGAAGGCCTTTGAATTTACTTTGTGATCAACCATAATCAATACAAAATAAATACAAGTAGTAATCATGCAACTATTGAAAATATAACCCTTTAACTATTAATTATCTAACTACCCAAAGTGTCGGTCTAAGGATCCCGAAGTATCCACCGAGTAAATCAAAGTAATTATTAATTAATAAGAGTTTATACTTTTCTCATACTTAAGAGTCAAATGCCATGACAGTGATAGGGCGCAATTACATACGACAGCTCTCGCAATATATCTCAACCCAATGCGGATCCAGTTCAAGTCTTAATTAATTATGAGTACATCTATAATTAACGACTATGAACAATTTATGATTACTATTTATATTCATGTATTGATCGCCATCACATACATATATAAATATCTCTTGTAATCAAGTGGACACTATCAATTCTATAATGAATCGAAATATAATACATTGAATTCACCAATTGTATAAAGCATAAATATTTCAGAAATGTCAGGAACATATGTCACTTTAATCTAAACAGGAATTTGCTATACAAGGGCATATAAATCCCAACACTTGGAACTCTCAAGGGCAATCCCCAAACATGGTTCCATCTTCTTCCTCTTCTTCTTTGATGAATTTTAGAGAGAGTGTGTGTGTAGATCTAGAGATGTGTTCTTGGAGCCTCCACTCTTCTCTTTTCTTCTAACTCTAGTCTCTAACTTTTCTAGAGAGAGAATATATAATTACAATGTAAAAATAAAATGATAAAAAGCTCTTTTACAAAATGGGTCACTTCCCTTTATATAGAAGGTCCTTTTCTTAGCCATTAAGTCAGAAATATAGTCCCAAAAATATCTAATCCCATACTATGTGGTAAGTGAAGTTTTGGGCGCGCGGGAATAAGACAGCTCACTGCCAGCACATTTTTGATCGATCCAATTTTTCTTCGATCGATCCAACTTTTTTTCGATCGATCCAAGAAAGTTGGATTGATCAGAAATAAGTTGGATGGATCCAACTTGGCAAATTTTCAGCATCAGCCTCTTTTTGCTCCAAATCAGTCTCCTTTTGCTCCGAATCATCACTAAAACTTAATTTGACTCCAAAAAGGTCTTAAGAAACCATTTTTAGCTCGTTTTAACATTATTGACCTGAAATAGATAAAAATACAAATAAGTACTAAAATGGGTAAATAAAGATAGATGAATAGACTAAAATACCCTCGTTTAAGTGGTTTAAATGCGCATTTTTCAGCGCTCATCAAGCACCTAAAAAGGGCAATAACACGAAATTAGAATAAAACGGGAAATAATATAGATAAATGTCCTAGAATACTCAAACTTAAAGGGTTTAAATGCACACTTTCTAGTGCTCATCAAACAATAATTTAACAATATAAGCATGTAAGACATGAATTTTACATCATTCAAGCATGTTATTACACATAATATCAATAAAAACACATAGTCATGTAATTCATTTAGAACAATTTAATCATTTACAAGAAAATCAACATAATTTAGCATGCTAAGTAACAAATCAAGAAGAAAATTCACTAAGGTGCAGGAAATTGTACATTAAGAACCCCTAACTCACTTAGATGCAAAAACCCCAATTTCCAAGCCCAAATTTTAAAAATTCTGTGGTTGGCCAAAGATGAAATTACTTACACCAACGCATAGATGTCGCTGAGCTCTTCGTTTTGCCGCAAACGGCACCAAAAATCTTCTAACGGTCGAGGAGTAATCAAGATTTGAAGCTTTGAACGAAAAAGAAAAGAAAAATAAAAATAAAGAGAGGAAAAGGGAGAGCTGCCGGAGAGAGAGAACTAGAGAGAGAAAGGTGAGGCCAAAATGGCCTCTTGGCCACTCAAAACAAAGCTAAGTGGTGGTGGGTCCCACCACTAAAGAAAAATTCCATTTTGACTTTTGTTTCACACCACACATATATATATGCAACAACTATACAAATACCACATAAAACACATTAAATAAAATAAATGATATGCAAATAGACCCAAACAAAACTCCCATACGCGACAATTCCGGAAGCGGGTCCCACATGGGACTTTCAAGCCCGAAAAATGAAAAAATATGGAAATGACAACCGGTGCATTTCCAAGAGTCCTAAACTTAATGAAATGCCCCCAACCAACTCTCGGACACATCAGGCACACCATACGGTGTCCGGCACACAAAACGAGAAAATACCAAAATGCCCTTACCAAAAACAGAAAATGAAAAATAACGAAAATCGGAAACATTACAAACAAATTGATCCTCAAATGGAACAAAAAAATCAAGGAGACCCTAGAGCCAATCTAGTGCACAATCCTCCCGAAGCTCAAGCTCTTATTCCTTCTTATACTCCTTAAATGGTCCTTCGTGATCATTACATTCTTAATGTCTATGATGCACCTACATGCATCCAATTGCCAAACTTTAAGGCCAATCATTATAAGTTTAAGCCATCTACCATCTAAATCTGTCCCATTTTCCATAGGTTAAGCAATAAAGAACCTTATAAACATTTGGATGAGTTTCTTGAAGTTTGCTCTGCCATGAAGATCACGGATGTCCCTGAAGAAGTTTTGAGAATGAAACTCTTTCCTTTCACTCTTCGGGATAAGGCTAAGTATTGGTTCAATAACTTAGGGGCTTATACCGTAACATTTTGGGCTCAATTGCAACAAGAATTTTTAAAGAAGTATTACCCCCGCAAGTCGGACTAATGCCATAAGAACTTCGATTCAGGAATTTTCTCAAGGTGATGGAGAGCCATTACATGAAGCTTGGGAGTGTTTGAATGACTTGCTATGAAAGTGCCCTCATCATGCACTCCCTAAGTGGCAATTAGTTCAATGTTTCTATGAAAGCTTATCCGAAACTCATAAAGGTATGGTCGGTGTTTCATGTGGAGGCACATATTTGCAAAAGCATGAAGACGACATATGGACTCTTTTTGAAAACATGAGTGAAAATTCCATGCACCGTTCATCATCTTCTAGGTCAGGGCATGTTTACCATGTAGGGGGAAAGAAGCTCACAAATCTATGTCAAGTAAAAAGTTCTTCGGAGATTGCCGCCGAGGTTAAAACTCTCACTCAAAAATTGGATCACTTCATCTCACGTCAAAACTCGGCAAGTCAATTGTCCTCTTCTTTTCACCCTCAAAATGAGAATTGCATGACTTACTCTAGCACTCTTCACAATTCTTCCAATTATCCTCTTGGGCATGTGATACAAAATGAGCCTCAAGAACAAGTCAATGTAGCATTTACTCGTCTGGGGAATAATCCATATCCGGGGTGGAGGGATTATCCTAACTTTTCTTGGAGAAATCAAAAAGGAGGTACCAATCCTTCTCTTCTTCAAAGTTCCCAAGGAAAGTATATCCCTCCCTACTTTCAAAATCAAGTATATCATCCATCATCATCATCATATCATCAAAATGTGAATCATTTTTCCACTCATCAAGCTCCAAATCAAGCATACTTGCATCCTCCTCAAGCTCCTCCAAGGAATTCCACTTTTGAGGACAAGGTTTTGGCCGCTTTGGCAAACCTCGAAGCAAATACTCAACTACTCCACTCTCATTTAAAATCAATAGCAAAGCTTGAAACCCAAATCGGGTAAATAACTAATTCAAGAGAGAAAGGAAAATTGCCACAACAATCTGAGCCCAACCCTAAGGCGCATTTCATGGTGGAAACAAGTCCTTCATCTGGATTCTCCACTCATGAACAAGTAAATTCCATAACTACTTTGAGAAGTGATAGAGAGGTGGATAACAAAGTGGAAATGTCTAGTGAAGATAATGGTCTCGTGCAACCAAGTGTTTGGCCACCTTCCATTTCAAAGTCTATTCCTACTTTATTAGGAACAAATGATTGCATTAAGGATCAATCATCATCATCATCTCCCATTCTAGAGAAGCTTCATGAGCCGAAAGCTCTATTTCCGCAAGCATTAGAAAATTCTTCTCGATTTAAGAGGCAAAAGAGAAAAATCCATGACATGATGAAGGTATTCAAGCAAGTAAAAATCAACCTTCATCTTCTTGACACGATTAGTCAAATTCCACATTATGCCAAGTTCTTGAAGGACTTGTGCACTCAGAAAAGGAAGTCTAAAAGCCAAGCACCGAAGAAAATCATTCTCATTGAGCAAATAAGCTCGATCATTCAACATAACACCCCTTCCAAGTTCAAAGATCCCGGTTCTCCCACAACCTCATGCACCATTGGTGATCATGAAATCCATAGGGCTCTTTTAGACTTAGGGGCGAGTGTCAATCTTTTTCCTTACTCGGTGTATCTCTAATTAAGTTTGAGGGAGTTAAAGCCCACGTCGGTTGTCTTACAATTTGCCAATAGGTCCATTAAGAAACCGCAAGGGATCATTAAAGATGTTCTCATCAAGGTAAACAAATTTTACTTTTCGGAAGAGTCACATCCCTATCATTTTTGGCCGTCCCTTCTTGGCTACCGCCAATGCAACCATTAATTGTAGGATGGGGGTGATGAAAATCTCTTTTGGGCACATAAATGTCAAGTTGAACATCTTCACTCCTACTCCAAATTCTTCAGATAAGAATTAGCAATTTGGCATGAATGTTATTAAGGAAGTGGTCGATGATTCCCACCTCACTTCCCCACAAAAAGCATCTTCTACTTTGATCTCAAGTGTTCTTCCTTCTCTTGACTCCATCAATGAGCTTGGGTTTAAATCGTCAAATAAGCTTAAATGTGCTTCCCTGGGTATTGATAGAGACCCATCAATTATCATTGTTCCAGATCGAACAATTTCCCAAGGAAGTAACTCGTTAAGTGCAATTCAAGGAATTATGCAACCCATGATGAAGAGGGTAGCAACCAAAATGTTTGATCCGGGCTAGATCGTAGCTTTCCATCTTGCTAGAGACTTTAAACTTAGCACCCATGAGACACATTGTCTCATTTGTCACACAGATCATTTAGGTTTTCCTTTGCATCTTTTTGTTGGTTTTTGTAAGTTTTTGTGTACATTTTTCTCCACATTTCACTTTCCCTCCTTGTGTATCTTCATTGGGGCTTATCATTGGATTTTCTACACTTTCATCTCAAAATAAGGCATTTTGTGCCATGATCACAATTTAATTTTATTATGGTGATTTTATCATAAAAAAGTATACAAAGAGTCTCAACAACCACTTTGGACTCCATTAACATTCATTCTCTGTAATATAATTTGATTTTATTGGAATCTTATAAGTAGGCATCATCACTAACAATTAATTAAATCTCTTTCTGAAATTACATGAAGGTATTCGATAGTGTGAGGAAGATAGATGAGATGACCAGAGAAAAACCGAAGAGAGAGAATGAGACAGACATAGAGAGAGACAGAAAAAAATAAAAATAAAAAAGAAGAAGAAGAAGATTGGACTCTTAGGGGTGAAGATAAGAAAGGATAGTAAAAAAACGGAATAGAGAGAAACTTAATAGTTATCACTTTAAATATTGTGACATAGCATATCTACATAGACAGCCACATAGATTAGGTCAGAAAAATCGGTTTACCTCTTCGCTGGAAGTATCATTTTTCTTTTTAAATATATACTTTTATTATTCCGTAGTAATATATTAAATATTAAAAGACCATATTTAATATTCAAAAATTAAATATCACCTTCAAGTAATCACACAAAAACTAATCTTTTTATTTCTTAGTATTTACAAAAACATTATTTGTACAACATGTCACATTTTTCTTTCACAAAAATAAAGAAAAAAGAAAAAGAAAACATGTCACAATAAAATCATATTTTTTTTTATTTATTCTTAAGGGCAATTTTGTCAATTAATAAGGAATTATAAAGGTAATTTAATGATTTACATTAGTCCATTCAGAAGTCAAATGGTAAGTACATATTTTTATCATGGTTGGAGATGTCTTTGTCCATTTTACCAAACCTAAGGGAGTAAGAAATGTCATTGTCTAAAAAATATTTAAATTGTAAATGCCTATTTTTAACCCAAACCTTCTGAATCTTATATTCCATGTACACGAAAGAAAAATTCCTATTATTATTATTTCAAGTCGCACATGACATGGATGGTTGATTTTATCAACAGCGTACATATTGCTGCCGCAAAGTGGAGAACTAGCTGTCAATGGATATACTAATTCGAACTAATATTCCCTATTGCTGTTCACCCAATAAATAAATAAATACATAATAGACCAATTACAATCAACCACGTCACCTATGTAATTTTACAATATTTCTCTTGGGCCATCAAACTTGAAAGCCCAACTCGGCAGGCCCAAGGATTTGTCTTCAATCTCTCAGTCCAGTGCACAAGATGGGCTAAACCAGTGTCTTCGGCCCAACCCACAGTTTGCCATGAAGAAGGTCCGCTGATTTGAATTTATCAATCACACAATTGCAGATATGGAAGGAGTCTTCTATGGAAAGAGTCTTGTATGGAAGAATTACAGAAGGAAACCACTGATTGTGTATGATTCGTGGGGGGCAAGCAACCCTAATTACACCACTAAAAATTGTATAAATAGAGGCACCCTACAATAGTATGTTCCTTCCACATCATAAACAAGAAAATAATAAGTACTTTGAAGTACCTATAATTTAGCACCGGCCTTCGGGATTAGAGCAACTCCAATGTTAAAAGTCATTTTTACATGTTAAATCTATATTTTGACAGTTGCTACAGTGTTAAAATACTACATTTTACTAATTCTGCTCCAATGGTGGATTTCATGCAAAATGCTATTTTTTTTACACAACCACCATTCTTTTTTAACTACCATTCCCACCATTCATATTTGCATAAGTAATATTAATATGAGGCACATTGCAAGTCAAATTGTAGATATTAGAAGGAAACAAAAATTAAACCTAATTAAAAAGAAGCAAAAATCTAAAATATCTTATCAAAAAAAAGACAAAAAAAAAAAAAAAAAAAAAACAAAACAAAACAAAATTTTTATTATTTTTTTACCACTATTTGTGAATTTTTATATAATATTTTTTTTTTCTTTTTGGGAAAATTTATATATATTATATAGGTATATTATATATATTTGATTATATTATTATTATTAAAAATATATATATTTTTAGGGCAAATCATTTCAGCCTAATAGCCTCTATCTCTATTCTCGTTCTCAACTAATCGAGGTCTGTAATTCTTGATTTTGTGTATACATATATATATATATATATATATATATATAAAGGTCTGTAATTCTTGTTTTGTAATCAAAATTTCAAAACCCATATATTTCTATTAGATTTGGCACAAAATATAGAAATAGTTATTGCTATTTGTTTTGCTAGATTTGGCACAAAAAAATGAGAAAGGTAAATTTTGACAGCTAATATAGCAACCCATTGGAGAGCCCAATTTTAACCCACCTGGTATATTTTGAATTAACAGCCAATATAACAACACCATTGGAGATGCTCTTAAAAAATATATATAGCTAAAAACGACGGTTTATGGGTTTCTTATAGGTTTCTTGGTTCAAGCACAGGTATACCCCTCATTCTACATACTGGAATGCTGTCCCAAGGACAAATTACTCCATCATTTGGACATCTACAGTGGCTGTAGAGACACAATGATGCATAATATATAATTTCAGATCGGAAATGGACAATTAGTATCTCTACTTATAGAGATCCCTTACTGTGCTGGTCAGACTATTACTCAAAAATTTAGACACAGATTGGCCAGAAGACTCCCGTTTCCCTAGGAACTCAACTTTAGATTGCTTGATGGTGAATGGGAGCTGGTTTCTTGGTTCAAGCATCGTTATCAGGATTCTAAATCTTTGAAGAGTCTTTTTGTTTTTTTTTTAATTAACTTTGGGCGTCCGAGATAGCACGAACCCTTAGGGCCCCTCAACAACCTGACTAATCCCCAAAGACCCGGAAGGGCACCTCCCCACCAGGGTCGAGTAAGTCACTGCAGGGGCAGCGGAGGCTAACCACAAAGAACACCTAGCGAGACTCAAACCCCAAACATTGGGCTTACTAAACTCCAAAGTCCAATGAGTAAACTGCGGGACCTTTGAGAAGTCTTTTCGCTGCTGCTTTTAGCGCCTGTGCGCTGGGGGGGGGGGGGGGGGGGGGGGGAGTTTTACATCGGTCCTACTAGGTTACATCAGTCTTCTCATGCTACTTGGATGTCCAGAATGCCCTAGTTCAACTCTGCTACCATTGCGTTTCGGACCTTTGAGAAGTCTTTTCGCTGCTGCTTTTAGCGCCTGTGCGCTGGGGGGGGGGGGGGGGGGGGGGGGGGGGAGTTTTACATCGGTCCTACTAGGTTACATCAGTCTTCTCATGCTACTTGGATGTCCAGAATGCCCTAGTTCAACTCTGCTACCATTGCGTTTCCTTTGTTTGCTTTTACTGGAAGTGAAGGGTCTCACTTTCTTATATTTGGCATACACTAACCAATTAAAAACATTCGGTTAAGGAATTTTGCCCAACTCATCTGCTTTAAAATCATTTTCCTTAACTACAACATTTCAATCACAACACTCGGAAGAGTGCTTCGTAGAGATTCATGTCAAAAGCTAAAAGTACAGCATTGGATCACACAATGCTACCTGCTGGACACTAATATAAATTCAATAGAACACTATAGTAGATAATTACAGACACCTGCTATATGGCATCAGTAAACTATGATTTAGTAACCATTTGACCAGAAGTTCTATTAAACCAAATTCTCCAAAGTGGCATAACAACATGGCTTCTGCACTGTGCATACAGATTTATGCCTTGCACATATTTAGAATGTTACATGCCAATGCAAAATATAGAAGATCTAGATTTCTCCAAGAAGAAGTCATGTAACCACAAAATAATTCCATCTCCAGGGTCCGAGTTCCTTAGTTAGCATCAACATTTTCACCGCCTCGGGAGACATTACCTGAAATAGTTAAAGGTGAGAGGATGCCTAGTACAGAAAACCAACAATTTACCCACCGTGAGGTTTTTGAATGGATCATGCTATTTTCCAAAGACCATTGTTTTATAAAATAAAACATTGTCTCTGAAATGTTCATAAAGGTGAAGGCACTTCACTTTAAGATATAATATGCAAACCGATCACAAAGGCTGCAATAATTATTAAATTTTCTTTCTCAGTTCCATCTTTTGTTTTTAACAGGTGAATGCATTTTATCAACCAATGGCGGTCCTCCAAGAGGATCCACCGGTCAACCTTTCGCACCGGCATGGCCCCAACCCTCAATACCAAAACAAGGGCTACTACGTGGCTTTCGGGTTTTTCTCCCAAGGGTAACTCGTACCCTACTTACCTCTTTATAGAATTACACTCATGGATTCAACGCATTCACAAAAAACATTCCCAATCTCCACATTTAGTCAGAACTAATTAGGAACTTTTTCTTAAAATCTAAACCCAAGCTGCAGATCAAGAATTTTCTTTTTCTTTTCACGTAACATTCCTTGTTAAAAACATCCAGCCATGTAATGAACTATAATAACAAATAAATAGTAAATGAAACAAAATTTAACAAGAGATTACAGTATAAGCATGTTGAAAACGGGTATAACCATTCATGACAAAATCCTGGAAATAAACATGCCTTTTTAACTCGTATAAAAACATGCAGAAATAGATATAACATAAATCATGCTTTAAACTCAGTTTACAAAGCATGAAGAATATACAAATCAGAATTTAAAACTGATTAAGGTAAATCTAAGTAATTTTCATAACAGGAAAAGCACCCAAAGTGAATAACAGACTTAACAGTCGGTATTTCTCTACCTCTAACGTGATTCCTTGTGTTGATTGATCCTACAAATTTTTCCTTACTATCTCTTCTTCTCTTTCTTTCTATGTATAGACTCACAGCAGATCTCTTGTTCTTTTTCTGTTTCTTTGTTTTCTCTATTTTCTTCTGTCCCTTTCTATCCTTACATTCTTAAATAATTTTGATGAACCAAAAATTGGAAAGCATACATACATCTCTCGAAAAGGTAAAGTAGCAATCTCCTAAAGACTGATGACCCTGGGACAAATAAATTGATGGCTGACATAAGGCTCACTGACTTGGATTCATAACATCATGAAGAAGCACTGAGGAATCTGCTAATCAACAAATCATCTCTAATCGCTTAACCAAAAAATTTGAGGGAATAATAATCAGCCTTTTAAAGACCCAGCTTCCACCATCCTATCCAGATGGTGAGTCACAATGCAGCAGATTAAGCCCCAGCCTATTGAGTATCAGCCAATTTCCTCACAAAACACCTAGACACACTAGAGAGTTACACAAAACTGCATCAGAATGAGAACAGACCAAAAGGATCTTCATAACAAGTTTAAAGCATTTCTCATAACGTACCTTAGGAAACAACTAGTTTGACATGAACCCGATGAAGCAACAAGGGTTTGTAGGGCCAGATTGTTGAATTCATGTGCTTTCTATTTCTCAGCCATTTCCAAACTATATCATTCTCTATAGTTAACCCAATAAAGTACAATCTAAGGGACTTTTTTTTGATAAGTAAAGTACAATCTAAGGGACTTGTAAGAGAAATAACAAAAACATCAGAATTTGACATCAATGAATAGAATATAAATAAAGTACAAACCAGAAATTTAGTGGTACTGTGAGGTGCAATGCTGATGATTTTGTACTGATAGGAAATGTGGCTCAAACTTTTAGCTTGTGCTGGCCTCATGGATTACATAGCAACATCTTAAACCACTTTGAAATCAAACTGTATTACCAGGCATGTCTAGAGGCCCATTAACATGAACATGACAAATCGCTATGTGCAGATTCTTACAAAATCTCACAGCAGCTGCTTAGGGAATGGCAACAAAACACTATATTGAAGTAGAACTTAATTACATTAGCAATCTTCCAGTAACATGACTATAATTTAGTTTATCTATTGATTCAAATTAAAGATTAAGAAGATATTGCAGAGTCAGACTTGCACAAACAAAAAATAATAAATCATTCACCTAAAACGCTTACATGATTAATGAATGATATATTAAAGCTGCACAAATTCTCTAAGTATTTTGTAACAAAGTCGAATAGATACTTGCCAAAAAAATTGAATTAAGATCATGAAAATCAGGACGAAAAAAAAAATTGTTGATAAAGAACTAATTCGAAAAGGTGGTGGTGTAAGGGTGGAAATGGCGAGTAAGTAAAAGAACAGGGGATGCGCAAGCCACTCTAGTTAAGAAGTAGATATTCTACAACTGATATGTTCCACTCTTACCTTCATAATCATGACCGTGTAATTTTGAAGCGTCCAATTTTTCTTGATATAGTTTCAACAACTGAGGAGCTTCCTCATAACATGTCACAAACTTCTTGAGGAACGAACTCTCTGTCGACCTCAACAATGTCAGTTCACTAATGGGTTTCTTAATCAAACCTTTGGACAACAAAACTTGAAGCACTGAACACCTGGGAATTATCCTCTTACCCAAGCTCATTGTCATTAATTCTGAACGACGGGCAATTAGGGAAGAATCCCAACCCATTGTGTTGACATAAAAATTCAGCTTTGCCATTATCATCTCCTCAGATACCGTCATACACCCAGGTCTTCTTCTAAACGCGCTCATTGTTTCTTCCTCAGACCAACCCCACTTCTCATAAACCTCCATCTTCCTTTTCCATGTTGATTTGCTCATTGAAATCAATGCCTGAACTGCTAAGACAAACTGGAAGCTTGATGGGTTGAAACCCATTTTCTTAACATCCTCCACTAACTCATTGAATTTATTATGCTTCATCACAAATGACCTAGGTTGATATGTAAGTAAGTACACAATATTTGATTCTGGCACACCATGTTGTCTTAAAATTTCAATGTTGGGAAATGCACTGGGATCACACCCTAGAATATCAGGATATCTTTTAAAGGCCACAATAAACTTATCATCTGAATGAAATAAATTCTTCAAAAATTTGAAAGATGGAATGATTTGGTTCTCCAAGCTTCGTGTCAATACAGTTGGGCAAACGGATAATACCTTCGCGAGCTCAGTGCTGGAAATGCCAATGGAGTAAAAGAAGTCGAATTTGGGCAGAAGGGTCTTCTTGGGATCCGATAAGAGAAGTTTTGGGCGTACTCTGATGACAGCTGAGATCTGGGTTTTGCTGAAATCATGGTTCTTGAAGAAGTTGAGAACTGAATCTGGTTTGTCTAGGGTTTTAAAATTGACTTCTTTGGAAGCTGAAATAGCAGTTTCTGAACTTAACCCACATGAATTAACGAGGTAATTGACTGTAAATGAGTGTTGATTAGTGGAAGTTGAGATGGATTTGAGAGATGAAGATAGTTGATGGGTTTGAAGGGCATAAAATTTATGGACCGTTGAATGTAAAACACGAGAGCATCTAAAACGAACCGGTGTTTTACAGTATAAATGAATCATTGGAAAAGAAATGTGATAGACACTATTATGAGGCAACTCACCTGATCGTTAATCTTCTTAGGTGCTCTTGAACTAGCAATATCCACTCCTCCTCTAGTCTAGGGCTTTTGGCTGAAGCAAAGGTTAAGACTAAGGGTCAGTTTGGTAGGATGGGTTTGAAGGGAAAGGGAAGGGAAGGGGATGGAGGGTAATAAAAAAGTTGTGTTTGGGTAAAGTTAGTGGAGGGAAAGGGAAGGAGAGGGAGGGGTTTGGAGGGTTATTTATAAGAAGGCGTATAGTAATTTCTTAACCTTTCATAATTGGGATGATAAGGAAGGAAAGGGAAGGGAATGGCAGGCAATGGCTATCAAAATATTTGTTAGGCCAATTTTACCCTCAAATTTGCTCTTCATATTTGTTAGGGCCCTGTCTTCAGCGCGGGAACAAAGGAAGGCGCGGGAACAAAGGCGCCAAAATTCACTGGTATAAGAAGAAACAGGAGAGAGAAAAGGGGGAAGTGGGTTCACTGCATGGTCTCTGTGCAGGAGTAGGAAGTTGATGATAGAGATAGAAGGGAAAGCGTCACTGTTAAATTCATTGGTTTACAAACACCGGCTTTGGAGCTACGCAAACCGTTCGAAAATTCATCTGAATTCATCATCTTCTTGGAGTATTGGATGTTCAGGTGTGTTTCTTCAATCCATCTAAGTTTTCCTCTTTGTCCGTATACAGTTGGAGATTTGTTATATTCTACGGAAAAAAATTCCTGCGATTATCTTTAATTATGTCGATGGTTTTCTTGTGAACTCTGTAATTTTGTGGGTTTCTCTCTTTTATCTTTTTGTTATAGTTAATGTGAATTTAGAAAGAAAAAAAAAAAAAAACACACACACACACACACAGACTTGATAATCCTTATTCTGTAGGGGGGAGAACTCACATGGCAAACTGTAATAACCCCACTAATATGCAGTCCCAGTGCCTTTTGACATAAATTTAGTCCTTGCAAAGTTTTGTTCCTATTTCCTGAGGGATTTAAAAGCAACTAGGAAACTTGAGAAGAAAAAAAATGCATATTCTGTTTTTATTTCACGCCCTGGTCAGGTGTTATGAAGTTGTAGTGGGCGATTATGGACATGAAATATTATGAAAAACAGCATGCCATAATGAGAATGTCATTGATACAGTCCGAATTATGTCTTATTATGGTCATTATTTGAAATATTGCAACTAGATTTTTGTTGCAATACCAACATAATCAATTTGTTTATGTCTGATCATAAGTGTCATATAATTATCATAGGTTATGTTTGGGTGGGTATTCTTATATATATATACTATCAGAACATCATATATTTGTTGAGTGTGTCTTATACCCTTATTTTATTAATCTACACTTATTGAATTTTGAGGGTGACAACAAGTCTTGAAATGGTAGATGGAGAGGCGAAATAATATGGCAACAAATGAATGGTTTTTGTGGGAACAAAGAAGGCGTTTGGCTGCAACTCAAGTTATTTGTTTGGTTGTGTATTGGCTTTTACGGAAAAAGTTTCAAAGGAGAAACTATGTTAATCGACTCACTGGACAATCAACTTTTGAAAGAGAAATGGTACGAAATGAACTTATGAACCAACTTAGGACAAATCAAAGATGTCGTGATATAACTCGAATGGGACCAGAGGCTTTCCAAAATTTATGTGAGATTCTTAAAAGGGATGCTGGTCTTAAGGCAACAAAAAATGCATCAGTTGAAGAACAAGTTGCAAAATTTCTTCACATATTATCACACAATGTGAGGAATCGCACGATTCAGTTTTTTTTTCGTCGCTCCGGTGAAACTACAAGTCGCCATTTCCATAGTGTGTTAAGGTCAATAATCTCGTTAGAAGAAAAATTTCTCCGACAGCCTAATGGTTTACAAATCCCTTCGGAGATACTTAGCAATAGTAGGTTCTATCCATACTTCAAGGTAAAATTATAATTTTATTTTAAAATTTTTATACATATGTTGATATAAAAAATTTATAAAATAAATTTATATCAGAATTGTGTGGGTGCGATTGATGGAACACATGTTCGTGTGAGAGTACCTACTGAAGACGCTCCAAGATATCGTGGTCGAAAGAATTTTCCAACCACAAATGTGTTAGCTGCTTGTTCATTTGACTTGAGATTCACATATGTCTTGCCTGGATGGGAAGGGACTGCATCAGACTCGAGAGTAATTAAGAGTGCATTTGAAAGAAAGGATAAGTTGAGAATCCCTAAAGGTAATTTCTATATAAAATTTATAAAATATTATTTTCTGATTTATAGTTATTCAATGATAACAACTTTTATTGTTAATAGGTAAATATTATCTTGTTGATGGTGGATATATGCTACGAGGTGGACTTATCACGCCTTATAGAGGTGTTCGATATCACTTGAAAGAATTTGCTTCACATCGACCTGAAAATCCTCGGGAATTGTTTAACTTACGACATGCGTCGTTACGTAATGCGATCGAGAGAGCATTTGGTGTATTAAAGAAACGATTTCCAATTATAGGAAGCACAACTGAGCCCACTTACTCAATCGAAACACAAACAGAGATTATCCTTGCATGTTGCATTCTGCATAATTATTTAATGGGCGTTGATCCTGATGAAAGACATATTGATGAAGTAGATCGGGAACTCTTAAACCAAGTTGAAGTTCAAGTTGAAGATGAAGATGAAGATGAAGATGTAGATGATGATCGAACTCCAAAGGATATTGTTGAAGGAGAACATATAAGGGACATCATTGCAATGAACATGTGGAATGACTATGTAGCAAATCAAATGTGACTAATGTTATGTGTGTTATAAGTCTAAATCTTTTGCTTGTTTGATAAATGCTTAAAACCCTAGTTTTATTTATTTTCTCTTATGACAAGTACTTGGTCTTTACTAAGACTTTATTGGTAGCTCAAGTTTGATTTGATGATATATTGTTAAAGAAGAAAAAGCATAGTCGATATCTTATATTACTCATGTTAATTTGTTTGTCATGATGTTATTATTATTATTATTATTATTATTTTTGTTGGTCACACTCTATTTTGAAATTTTACATTAGATTCTACTCATTTGCTAATTTCTTATGTAGATAAGAAAATGAGTAACACAACAAACAAAAATGAAGGGAACAAGAAAGATAGGTTTGTTTGGACGCAACAAATGGAAGATGCATTCATTGATGTGCTGTATTACCAACATATTAAAGGGAATAGGGTTGATGGAACTTTTACTAGCAAAGCATATGATGAAATGGTTAAAGAATTGTGTGCAAAACTTGAAATGGATTTTACCAAAGATAGGATTAAGAATCGATTGAAGACTATAAAGACTCATTTCAATGAGTGGTATGACCTGTTTAAGAATGGATTGAGCGGATTTGCTTGGAGTGGTGAGACAAAGATGTGGAGTGCGGAGCCAGAGGTTTGGAATTCATTGATTGAGGTACTATTTTTTTTTTATTAATTTAGAGTTATTTTTACTATTAAAGTATGTTTAAGGCCTAATTCATATGGAAACTCTTGAAATGTTTTTTCTATGTTGTTCTAGTGTCGTTGTTTTACCCAAAGAATGTTTTACACTATGAAATGTTTAGCATATATATATATATTTTTATATGCTTGTAATAGGCAAAACCGCAAGCGGAGAAATGGAGAACTACACCTATTAACAACTATGATAAGTTGCTAGAGTTGTTTGCAAAAGATAGAGCGACGGGTGATGAGGCTGCAACTGCTAAGGAGAAACGTTTTCAATGGGCTAGCTCAACCAATGACGAGTTAATGGGAAGTATTGATGGTATTGATCAGCTAGTAGCAGAAAATGAGGTGACTTTGGAAAATGTTGAGCATGTGGCTGATGAGATTGAAAGGACAATGTCCCATAAGGCAACTTCTATTGCATCTTCAAGTGCAAAAGGAAAGAGGAAACGGTCTTCACGTGGTGTCTCTAATGATACCCAAGACATAGCAAATGCAATTTCCTCTGTTGCAGAATCTATTAAAGAGGGAAATGCTCTTTATGGAAAATATAATCGTAAGGTGCATTCGGAGGAGGAAATCTATAATGAGCTAGAATCAATTGGACTTGAGCCATTTTTAATTGATGATGCTTACTTTTATCTCGCTAACCATCCTGATCAAACGAGGATATTCCTTGGTGTTCCAGTTGCAAAGCGTAAGAATATTTTGGAGAAAATGATGTACGGTTCAACATGATGGTGATTGATGATGGGTAGTCTTTCTTTTTGTTGGGTATAGGTTCCTTTTTTGAGAAACACTTCTGGGAATGCAATGAATTCCTTTTTTGTTGGTGAAACTTTGTGTTGCTATATTACGGAAAAAGTATGTATTGGAAACCTTTTACAATGATGTAAATCTAGGAACTTGACTATGATGTAATTATTATTATCTACTCTTTTGGTTATGGAATTTTATAATGATTATATTTCTGGTCTCTTGGTTTTATTTAGCAGGTGATGTTTGTGGTTATTGAGGTTTCTTTTGTTGATTGCGTAGCATTCATTTTCCTTTGAAATTGCAGTTGTGTTAGTGGTTATCAAAGCAGAGTGAAATAGATTTCTTTGCTTCGAATTACAGCATATACTACTGATGCTATACTTAAATTTCAGTTTCAATATATTGATGCTATACTTATTTTTCAAATTCAATATATTGATGCTATACTTAAGGTTGTCAACCCCAATTATGAGAAATTAGTCACCTCCCTTCAACTACCATACAGGCCGCAACAGCCAAATCATAGTAAGAACTGCATCATGTGAGAACCACATGAGGACTACATTATCCAACCCTGAACTTGATCAATATAATGAAAAAAATGATGGATGCACTCTCATTTTTTTTTTTTCCTCACTAAAATTAAATGACAAAAATATTCTTTATACTCTGATTAATTAAAATGTTATTGTTGTAATTTCATATTCAAGTGCAGTGTATTAGCTAGAGTACATTTATCACCTCCCAACATTAAATTCAGAAGATGATGATATCACATATGAAGCTCAAACTGCAAAATCTGGTAAAATATTAACAAATGAGAATGGAGATTTCAAATGGTTCCATTTGTAGAAGAAAAAAACCGAAATGACATAGAAAAAAAAGGAAACAACAATATTT